CTGGTTCACGATTTACCGTGCATTTAACCTCGTCTACCTCCTCCTGGTGCCGTATGGCCGTGGCGTTGCGTGCCATCGCCATGTGCATCCTTGGCTTATCGTCGTCCCATTCTGCGACGGAGGGTGGGACGGGTAGATACGGGATTTTGGAAAGTGGGGGAGCTCGTCCAGACCGGAAGCGAGGAGTCGTGTCAAGGAGAGAAAGCAGTCAGCCCACGTGCTCTGAAGGGGAAGGGGCCTCTTGTGAAGGAGCTTCTGCCAAAAAGCGCCGCATGCACTTGGACTGCTCCAACTCCGGTTTTCGCGTGAATTCCATTCCCACATGTGTTACACGGCTTTTTATGAGAGCAGTATAGAAATAAATTGCACGTGGCGAGAAGACCTCCACGTGGGGAAAGTTGATGCGGCCTTGTATTCTATTTACATACTGGATACATGTCCGGATATGCGTTATACGTATAAAACCCTAGTCCATCTCTTCCTCTCGCAGCACGTGGAGTTCCAGACGACCCCTTTCTCTTCAGATTTGGTCTCCTGGAATCTGGAGCTTTCCTGCGTCTCATCACTATTAAAGAGGGGTCGCACTTTGGGCAAACGCATTGACACGAGTAGGTCCAAAATACGGGTGTGGAAACATACCAACGTTACGCACATGGACGCACTATTACGCACCGTGAGTGCATGATAACATGGGCAGAAGCAAGTTAAAGACCTCTTCTTACATCCATATCCTGCCATGGTTTCATTATGTGTGCGTTGTTCTTCACGCTTGGCTTCACCTCCTGCCCTCACTATTATGTAACATCCGCCTACACTGCTATACACACCCCTGACACTCCCTATCATAACCCTTTCTACCCACCGCACCACAACCCAGGCTGAAATTCACCACCCTGTAGCTGGAGTTTGAAATGGAAGAGTTCAAAATCTCGAAAAGGCAGCGTCCATATGACGCGTCGCCTAGAAAGAGTACGTCTGAAAGCGAAATGTGACCACTGCCAAGGCGTGGTGAAGGATCCACCAGCTTTTCTGAACCCGAGGGTCTCACTTCTTCTTCCCTTTCTGCCGTGGTGCTGATCTGGCGAGAGGGATACCCCACCTCTGCTACCGACCTTCCCATAGTTCCCAATGTTCCCATCCCCACAAAATGTAGGAAGGGATTTCGTACCCTCCTTGCATTCTATATATCCCTTGAAAAAGGAAGAGTCCATTCCGAATGGTAACATGAACGCCAAGGAAATGTGGTGGTCTGGTAAATATAGCGACGCTGCGGGATAAGGTACGTACATATAACGGTACGGAGGAAGATCACGATGTCTGCCACGGTTTACCTACTGCTGTGTCTCTCTCTCAACTAATAAGTAAAGTCATCCTTTTATCAAGAAAGTGGCGAGTGCGGAAGAGTTTTCCAAGTTATAGGAAGAGGACGACCAACTAAAGTCGTAAAGGGAGAAAGTGCCAAATGTAGATCGACTTTATACACAACTTTAACCACTTATATTACTTCTTCTTTACTTCTTGTTCGTCTACTACTTCTTGTTCTTCCTTCACGACTTATTTGGCGATAGGGGAACGGAACACATTGTTTTGTTGGGGTTTCATTCAGTAGGATTATACGGATGGATGGGGTGGGTTGTGGAACTTGAAAGTTTTAAAAATGGACTCTTCCCTGGGATATCATCAGAGGAGGCTACTTAATACATGGCTATTTAGTTATTGAACAGCTTTATACGCGACGCGACGCTAAATATTATTTTTACATGCGGGGTGGGTGAGCTTGGTTGGTGTCAAGTTGGTTGGGTGCATATACTGGATTGACTCGTCTTCTTGACTTCTCGTAGAGTTGTTTGTGGTGTGGTGACCAAATGAAATGAGATTCAGTGTGGAGTTGAGCTTTGAGGAGGGTAGACTTGCGAAAAAAGAGTTCCTGCATTACCAATATTTGCACATGAAGAAATTTGCAGAGTGGATTTTTTATGGACGAGTTGTTAGCAAATACATATTATTTTTTTTAAGAAAGTGCGAATTAAAAACGTACGGATTTTGCAAGAAAAATTATTGTTCAGTTGGGTATAAATTTTTTGCAGAGAAAGTAAGTTAATCCAGAATGGAGGACAACTGCGATATCTGGAACGGGGAAAATTGGAAGTCTGTCGACAAATTATTAGTCTGACAAAGATTAAGGAGATTACGTCGTCAAGATTTATGATGTGTGACTTACAACATTTATGACATGCCACGAAAATACTTAATTATGATGTCGATGCCATATTCCAAATTCTCTTACATACATTTCTTTTCTCCAAGACATATGCACAAACATAAATCAATGCTGCAATATACTTCCCCACCAGAGTAAATATTTCCAAAAACTGTCCCATAAACAGGAAAACGAGGTTAATTTCTTCCCTATTTATTTATCCAACAAAAACACCAAAAAATTCAGTTCAGGTCAACTACATACCAAATCGTGTAAAGGAATGCAATAAGATCCAGATCCAATCCAGGCCACCTACATAAATACGAAACCAAAGACATGATATTTGTTTGGTTGGGCTTTAACAACCTACTTTTCCAGGCGTTTTGTTGAACTCGTCGGCCCGAGAAGAACTCAGCTACTTGAGATTTGACCCAAATAATGCATATTCTTCTTCCTCCTGCTTTCGTCCAGCCCACTCGTCCAGAAAAAGATGTACATTTAATTTCCGAACAAGGCCGTTATTCTGAGCCCGGGGGCAGAGAGGAGGGTCGGATCTCGGCAGGGTGCCATCCTAAGCCCAAGGGAGGGTTCAGGCTACACCTTAATTTCCACTCTGGACGAGGGTGCGTGGAAGGGGAGCTCCCTAAAATCAGGGTGGCTCAAGGTCAGGAAGGGAGACAAACTGTGTCAATCTTCTTCCCGTCCAAGGGCACAAGACCACATTTTACGTTCCCCTTTTGAGTTTCCATCCATCCCTCCGCCTACTTTCTTTCCTACACGTTGGATTCTTTTTTGTACTCCTTTTTTTAAACGCCCTTGTCCTTGTCCTACTAAAAGTTAGGCTGGTCCTAAATATGTGCCTAATACGGATTACGGACACCTTATAAATAGTGGAGTAGATGATGAACCACTTTACTTTTGGAGGCATGAGGAGGGACCTTCCTTTCCGTCTTGGACGGGGTGACTGTTTAGGTGCATAGTAAATATCTAGCCTACTATTCTACTTTTACTTTCTGGTTCAAAATGCAGGCAAATAGATAAGTAAGTAGATTACTCTTACTTACTTACTCTTCTTTGGTTTGGTTTCACTCTACTTATTTATGTCGAGTTTAAGTTAATTATTAAGCAGGGGGTGGTAATTTTGAGATGGAAAACACAATTGTGTGTGAACAGCCGTAATAAATTTGATGTTTCAAGGTCAAATTAATAATTCGTATAAATTTAATGCTTCTTGTGTACTTATATGCACCCAAATTTGTATTTTGTACATATGTAAACAAAGCAGCTCGTTTTTTGGCCTGCCAACATTAATCCTACCGTCAGTGGCCGCGGAAGCCGTGGGGACATGTGGGGACATCAACATTGTAGGATAAGGGAAGGAGAGGTTTAAATATATAACATGGGAAGATGATGCGGACATCGAACAACCGTGGCGACATTGTCCCTCTTCCGCGGCGCCTGAATCCCACCGCTGTTACCTTGACCTAGAGAAGAGTGCAAGTTGTTCTTGATGCTGGTTTTGGTGATGATTCTTCCTTCCTTTTTCATGTCGCTGGTAATACAAAGTGTGTATTTAGCTTGTGGGACTTGTTCCAACCAAATGAGACAGACGCTAAATTTCTACCTGTCTACCACCATGAGGAGCTATCATTGGAAGAGATAACAGACTTCCTCTCCTCGCTGTGCACATTTAGTGACCCTGCTCTGCATTCGTGACCTCCTTCCATCTGCTCACGACCCAGACCTACTCATTTTTGAGCTCGACCCTCCTAAAATCACCTCTCCTACTAGTCCAATAGTCCACATTTTGCATGGATAGTGAAGGTGAAAGTGAAGATTCTCCTCGGCACGACAACTGGTCAATTGGGTTGGCGTTACACATTTTACATATTTGTGGAACACTTCGACTAATTTCACCCCTCGTATGGCTCTCACCTTGACAGAGAAGGAATACATAAACTCGACGGTGATGTATGTATGAATAATTGGCGAATTTATGTGGAATGCATTTTTGCAATCGGTAGGTGGGTTGTTTAATGAAATTGACTCTTCCATTATTAGTAATAATTTATTACTTGAGATGATCGTATCCAGCGTAGGTAATACGATGATGACACATTATGTGTATATTTGGGCAATTTTAATTAGGTTAATTAATTATGCACAATTATATTTGTGGTAAAAAATCAGTTTCCTGTCAAGATATGTAAATACATGTAAATATTATTGGAAGGAGATAAAGCCAGGAAAATTTCTAAAAAGCTGGATTGCATGAAATGCATACAACTAGAAGGAGTAGCTGTTAAATTTGGCATGAAGGGGGGGTGCAAATTTGACCAATGAATACGAAAATACTTAGATTAGATTCAATAATATTTTTTGTAGAGGAGAGGGAACCAACACTACTTTTTGAAATTGGGTGAAATTTTGCATGCTGGATGTAACATGAAAATTATGTATGATAACAATGCCATTTTGTAAATATTACTCTATTAGAAAATCTGGATGCTTAATTTAGATCGATTTGGCTCGTAACTGGTAGGTCTAACGTATCTGTATCCTTGAAGGTGAATACCGAGAATTTGATTTCTCGAATTGTTGAATTTTTTAGAATTAGGCAAAATTGTCCCAAATAAATAAAATTCCCGAAAATAATCATGTAGAACAAGCTTTCATGAAACTAAAACGACGCCATAAGCTGGGACGCGAACAGCTAAAGTCAGGACGCTCACGAGATACATAAAATGATTCCGCGAGTTGTACAACACATGAATGATATTTATATTTTTTTGTACGACGTACATAATTCTCAGCTTAAAAGATGACTTAAATTAACAAATAAATATCCTTCGACATTTTTTTGAGGTGTGGTTTATAAGAAAACATTTAATTTCACCGATCTGGTGAAACAAGTACAAAACATAGTGTAGAAATATAAGATAAGGCATGTTTTTTGGAGAGATAAGGTTGGGGGCGGAGATCAAATTTAGAATGAAACCCCTCCCTTGTAATTATTCTGTGATATTATATTTGGTACTTCTAACCAGGTTAGTTAATTGCTTAAACTCGATACCGTACGTATTTACAGTGATAATTATTTGATTGTCTTCTTATTTAATTTAACAGCACGCCGCAGTGTCTTGGTCAGAAAAATGTGACCTCGTCGCCATCCGATGACGAAGAACATCATCGCCCTGGTTTTCCAATAGTTTCCCCCAACACGCCAGTGATGGATGAATCGTCCCTTGTCATGATAACCATTGATCAAATAATTACACCAAGCGATACTTGTAAAGAAATTGTAGAACAATTTGCCTCTGCGATTTCGAATTTTACCCAGTGTTCAGTTACCAATTCGAGACCGATACATCTTTGCGGGTGGTGCATTGCTCATTACTTATCTGTCAAGAGGACTTATCATGATCTCTTTGTGGTAATTACAAATAATCAATAAGATTTCAAATGACTGTTTCATAAATATAATTGTAAAACAATATTTGCAGACGGTAGACGAAAAAGGAAATCCTTGCAAAGAATATTTTACAAATTTAGACCGCATAGAAATTGTTGCCGATGCGTTCAACTATGTTCAAAATTTATGGAAGAAAGGAAGCTGCGATTGTAATTTTGTTTTAATCTATCTCTTATTTTTCATATAAGATGCAATCTGAATTTTTCTTACTAATTATTTACAGATTGTTTCAAGCATTCAGATAACGGCACGCTATTGCCCGAAGTGACCACTGACGTATCAGACTTTATCCTGCTGTTTGAAATGACGAAATCCTGTTTTAATTCACACATGGATAAAAATAATACTTGTACCGAGTGCAAAGAGAGATATGACCACTTGAACAGTGTGTATCTTGACATGGTGGCAAAATATGTGGACAATATGTGTCTTGACCTCGTTGACACTATGAACACAACCCGAGCGCTATGGAGCGAACTCTACCACTGCAACCCACCAAGACAGCCTGAAATCTGGCTTCACGTTGGAATGGGCGTCCTTTTAGTTATACCCGTAATTTTTTATCTGCTTGCCTACCTTACAGCGGATAAGCAAGTAGCCAATGTTCTTCAACGTGAGCTGAGATATTCTCTAATTGTTCTCATTTTGCTCAAGATTCGTGTACATAACCCAATTTTTTTACGCAGAACGTCGATTAGCCGAGTTGTTGATCACATCAAATAGCGGTGGAACTGAAGGATCTGGATATGTGTCGATGATGCATAATCGTTCTCCAACTGTGAGTAGTAGCAGAAGTAGGAGTGCCAGTACTAGTGCAAAGACTCCTTCAGACCCTCCATTAGCTCAAAGCCAAAATTAGTCATGATAATATACAAGATCTTAAGAAAATGAGGTGCCTAAAATCGAGAGTCAGACTGAAAATGTTAATCTAATCACGCATCATTTTTAATTAATTATTTACATGTTTACATTCAACAATAGGTTAATTTATAAGTTATTTATTGACTTCTGTTACAACTTGTACCGTTTTTTCAAAGACTCTGCCTTCTTTTTGACCGCTTTAATTTCATGTAATGATAAAGTCAACCATCGTTTCCAAATGACTTCGACAGCTTTGACCTCGTCTTCCGAAAACTGTAATTTATGACGAAGTGAATTAATTATAAAAAGTGTATTACGATATTTTATTTTATTTATTAATATCTAAAATACCTCGATGGAATAAGCTCTTAGAACAGCGTATCTCTCTAATAAATCTCGATATCGAACTTCCATATCAATCATTGATGGCTGAACTGAAGCGACTGACGCTAGCAATCTTTTCGCCTCCTCTGCTAACCGAGCTGGATGACGCAGTTCGACTTCAAGTTCCTACATCAATTTGTTTCATTGTGTGATTTTTATCGTTTTGATTTTAAGTTTTAACTCAAAATTCTGAAGCTTTTTGATGTGTTTTCGTGGGTATTAGTTATGTAACACTACCTGCGGATTAAACTTACCACAAGAAAGGAGTGTGGAAATGAGCGAAAATTAGGAGAAAATAAGTTGTATCCAGTATTCTACACTAAATTTGACAATTGAGAAGAATTATAATTAGAATTGACTAATAATTATCAGTATAATTGATCCACTTCTTAAATTTAGCGTATGATTGATACTGCGTAGTGTACCACTTAATTTCGGCTCATTTCTCACTCTTGTGTTGTCCGCAGGTAGTTTTACACAACTAACTTACACATACTCCACGAAAAAAGTAAAACACAAATTTAAGAATTTTGATTTTAATCCAAATTTACCGAAACTCTCCGATTAAAATCTTTGCTCAGGTCTCGACAACTAAAAATTAAATAAATTATTAAATAGTTGAAAACAGTGAGACCAAATTTGAGCTAAATTGTTCACCTATTGTGAAGATACTCTCCCAACATTAGCACCCATTCGCGAGCATACTTGCTAATTGAAATTTGAAGTGGTCGGACATTCAATCTGCATTATTAAATCAAAAACTGTTAAACTATTTGTTAATTAATTAATTACGGTCCGGTTATCTCACTTTACACATCCTTCAACTCGAAAAGTTGGAACGTCCAGGACTCGATTATAGATATCCGTATAAAATGCCATCTTGTCATTGAACGATTTAACGGATGGATTTTTCGAAGCGAACGTCTTAATAGTTTTCTCTTTGTTGTAAAGCCATAGATTTTTAAACTCACGATACCTGTGGAAAAAATTTTAGCTGAATTAAAATTAAAGTGGCTTTTAAAATTAATCAAACATCAAAATTAAGTATTTACTTTTTCAGGTATTGCCACAAATTTTTCAAAATAGTTTGAAGATTTTCTTGAATTTGTAAGAGAAGTTGAAGAATTCGAGGAAGTCGTCCGATGTCCGTATAAAAACTGTACACGAACGGATCACCCTCTGCTTGATTTATTGGGGTCACAGGAATACAGGACCCACGCCTCCATCGAACGAATTTCTTTGTTCTGCAGTAAAATTATTACATATTTTGAACCAGAATTTAGTTAATGCATGATTTTGACTAATGAATTGAGGATATTTACCCTTCAACACAATCTCTCGCAGCAGCAGCTAAAAACTGAAAAATTTCATGAGCACTTGGAGTGATCCGAATCTCTGGTGTAGCCAGGACAGCGTCAATCACAAAAAGTGGTTCTTCTGTGGTCATCCGCATCTCAAAATCGTTCAGACTTCGAATCACAACTCTTGAACCAGTGAATAATAGAAGACCATTTATAATTTATTTATACAATTTAAAGCGTTTCGTTTAATTTGCATACTTTGACAAATATTTGAACATGCATTTTTCCCAGTGCATGTAGTATGAGCGAAGCCTTTTGTGTTTTCCAGTCGTCTTTCCGTACGTTATGTCTTCCAATTTTACTGTAAAGGGTTAAAAAAAGTACATCAAAATGATATCAATTGCGAATTTTGATGGCATGTGTATTGAAATTGAGAGCTATTTTGTCACTAAATTGATCTTATCAAACTTTATTACGCTATATTTCAAATTATTTCTTACTAAAGTGAGGAGCAAGTCCTTGATACAGCGAAAGTAATTTATCCCAGGAAGCGGTCCGATAATTTTCCCAGAATTTGAAGAAATCCTAAAAAAATGTGACAATCACATAATTAAATCCATCCATACGCTAAAAAATTCCAGAAATTACCCAACATTCCAAAATTTCTAAAGCTTGATTCTTTTTGTACGGAGGTTCTTTATACACTCGAATCGTTCTCATTTCCAAAATCCTAACTCTGAGATCTTTAGACACAAAGTTGATCTGGCCAACGACGCCTTCAAACTTTTGCACCACTGCGGCAAGATGACTTGCATAATCCATAATTCCAAGAGCTGTCCATTTTAAATGTGCCAAACCCTGGTCAAAATTTTTCTCCAGGTCGCGAATCGCTCTTTCCATGAATTCGGCCTGGATAGGAAATTTGTAATAAATAATTTGGTTAATTTAATTTAATTAATAATTATTTCATATCTACTTCATGAGATCGAATCCGTCTCCGAATAGAGTAATAATTTTCCAGCACGTGGGCCAGCATTCGTGAATTGTAAATGAGTGTCTCTCTCAGAAGGGCGACATTTCGAATCTTTTCACTAACACGGTACCCCATTTGTTCCAGGTGAATCGCTTCCTGAATCATTTCCAAAATTTCGGGTGGGACATTAATTTTTATGACCATTTTGTCCGCATTTTGTTCGGGGTCCGGTCCCACTGCAATAAGTTGAGTCTAGTTTTATTTAAATATACACCCAATTTGCATATCAATTATAAATATGATGTACATTCGTGTGAAGCAGGTTGCTTAATAAACACGGTTGCTCGAAGGCAGATATTAATTGTTTGGGCAGAAACGTCGCACCAATTGTGGTACCACCAATCTTCGTAAGATTTCATGTCACGGGCAAGAGCCAAGTAATCATTACAGGCCTAAAGTTTAATTTTGGAGTTTATACATATTTTTTTTAGAAAAACTAAATTTTCGAATTTTTTTCGAAAATAAATGTCTTTTTACCTGTTGTCCCATATCTGTTTTGACGACATCCTTCTGCGTTCTGAAATTCACGATGGACTTTTTGATACAGTAAAATAGTGCACGGACCCACCAAATTCTACCCGCGACGGGGGGATGATACCGACTTATCGGGGGATTATCCTTATTCGTTTCATAAAATCGTCGCACATTTTGGACCTCGTTTATATAAATCATTAAAGTTTCGTCGAATTTTTTCATGAGCTTTTGATGTATCCCTTCCCTCGTTTCAATGTATTTAAATTTCATCAGCATTTCAAACGCTGCATCGGCTGACCTGAAAAATGCCAATATTTTAGTAATTTTACGAGGAAAATTAGTATGTAAATTGGCTCTACAAACTTGGTCACGAATGCTTCATCAATCAAATTCTTTGCTTCCAGCTCCAATACTTGGACATCTTTTCGCAACTGTTCCAAAAGTGCGCCCCACAGACGTTGATTTGCGGCGAGAAAGGGATCAAACTTGATTTCTAAGAATGGTTTGATAAGTTGACTCTGCAGAACAATTAGTGTAATTAATTTTGCATAATTTGCGAATATAAATTTAAATATGTATGCAAATTTTCTTACAGTTTTCTTTAATGCTTCCTCAATCTGAAAGAACAAAACAAGTAATTTGTACAGTTTTATGGTATGTGAAAGATGAAAAAATACCGAACTTTACCTTTTTCGGATCTCCGACCACAGCCTTAATTTCAGGGCCAAAAAAGTTTTGAAATTCCATGAGAAGAATTGCCATCTCGCTCAAGTGTTGAGAAACAAGGATGACATAGTCCGTTTTGGGGAACAATTTTGTCCTGTCAAATTCCCATCTCGCTCCTTTTCGAGACTGTTCAATCTTTTCTCTCGTGTGAAGATAACAATCCTTCCAAGCTTGGAGTAAATTCCGGGCAGTGTCGGATACATCAAGGGCGGAGAGTGGATCCCTAAAATATTTAGGTCATAGATAATTATAGAGATTCACACAATAAACAGTGGCCGCGGAAGCCGTGGGGACATCTGGGGACATTAACATTGTAGGATAGGGGGAGGAAGGGGTGTATATAAGACGGACATATGATGCGGACATCGAATAACCGTGGGGTCATTGTCCCTCTGTCCTCACATTTCCGCAGCCACTGACGATAAATTATGTATAATTACAGTTTAAACAAGCTGGTGGGATGCAATGCCGTCGTTGTCCTGTCGTAAAGTAGCTTTGCAATCATTTCCAACAATCTGCACATCCTGTCGTCCTTGTTGTAATGTCTTGACAGGGTCCAGACCAACTGCAGGCCGTCCATGATATGTGGAATGGCGTCCGCCATGTCGATAAAGCTCTTGGAATATGTCAAAGTCTTCAAGTGACGTTCAATCGTGGGGAGGAATCGGCTTATGTCCCTGGATTCTTGGAGACATTTGACCAGTTCTTGCAGCTGGTATTCATAGCCTGGAATTATGTCGGAATTTGCAGCGTGCAAAACTTGGCAGGCAACGCGGACATCTCTAGATTGAAGTTGGTCCTGTATGGCGCAAAGCATGGAGTACCGATCACGCCAAAATTCCCTGAAAAAACGGGAGAAAATATATAATTTCTGGAAATCTAGTGTTTTTGTTGCAAAAAAATTTAGTGCCGTTGTCTTAATTAAATGAATAAAAATATGTCACTGGAAAAACTTACAGTTCTGCAAGCGGTGTAAATGAAGTAGGTTTCTAAATTGAGAATTATTTACTTAATTTTTGTATTTTTTTGGGACTGATAATGCATTTTTATATGATTTCTTACCGTTGGCAGTTCTTGTTTCAAAATTTGGCTAATTCTCTGCTCCCATTCGGAACAAAGTTGTTCTAAAGTTTGGACCAAATTCTTATTTTTAGCCAATTGAGCAATATTAGGATGAGCCACTTCCAGTTCAGGGATGGCAGGGATTCGAATTTTAATTTCGCCTTCAATTTGAGCAATCGCCCTGCGCAGGAATTTTCATCAAGTAACAAATTTGTCTCAAATTTCACTTTTAGGTTTAGCCACTAATTAATTAAACAAACCTGGAAAGCGAGCTGAGGAACTTTTGAAGTTCAATTCCCAATTCATCTCTCAATTGCGACTTTTGTGACTCGCCGAGCGGCTGCATATCCATTTTGGCTTGAGAAAACAGATGCGAAGGTGGGCTCAGCTCGCTATCGAATATGAGAGGTCCGAAGATCTATGCGATAAAATAGTCGTCACATAATTTCACTCAGCTATTAATTTGCATGTGTGCACGCACCTTGGACAAAAGTGCTTGAATGGGACGCAGTTGATACCCATGCATAATGCCGTACATCAAATGTTTTGGCATTTCTCGTTCCGCCTCTTCCAACGACTTCATTACAGGAATCGGCACCCTGGACATCCTCACAAAATACATTGATCGAGGGTTAAGTTTTCCCAAATTTGGGGGAATCACGGTGGGGACGAATTCAAAGTAGTAACGGTTGATATCCTCCTGCAATAACCAAAATCATTATCATAGGGCAAAATTGCATATGGTATGCTATTTATCGCACCGGAAGTGACTCGACGTCAAGATCAGTGTCTTCCGTGTCCCAGGGATAAGTGACAGGCTCCTCCGTGGTCACTTCCTCTTCCGGTTTCGCCTTTTTCTTCATCTTGCCTTTCTTCCCCTTGCCACCTTTCCCTTTGCCTTTGCCCTTTGACTTTTTCGAGCTGGATTTCGATGTGGATTTGGCACTATCGTCGCCCTCTTTTTTCTCCTTCTTTTCCTTCTTCTTCTTCTCTTTTTCTGCATAAATTATTAGAGCCAGTTATAAAACCTATCAGTACAGCTTTGCATAGCCCGAACCAGGAGTGATTAGTAAACCCATGTTTGTCAGTCGTTTTCTATAAAATTATGTTCTACTATTTTACCCTAATTTGTGCGTTAACTAGCATCAATCTTTCGCACTACTAGGCTCCAAATTCTAAAAATATACTATCCATTGTCGTTGACTACTTCCCAATGGGGACGGCCTCTATAACCCCTCTGGTTAATTTTTGTTCATATTTAACTTTTTATTCATGAGAAAGCAGTAAGGATCTCTGGTCCAAATTTCAGCTTTCTATGTTAATTTATAAAAGTCGGTATGGATCACCCCATAGGGTCGCTCTAGATAAAATTTTTTACCAATTTCATGTCATATTCTTCCATTAGGACCCATAAGCAACCTCTCCACCAAATTTCAGCTTGATATGACGATTTTGAAAAATCAGTATGGGTCACCCCCTAGGGTCCCTCAAGATGAAAATTTTTCCAACTTGAACTAATTTTTATCTATTAGGAGCCATTAGTAACCTCTGTGCCAAATTTCAGCTTTCTACGACAATTTTGAAATTTTGGTGCGTAATACCCCACCCACTCCGATGACCCCCACCGGTCTAAAACTTTTCTGATCGAACCCATCTTCGAACTCGGTCGTTGCATTGTCCAGATACATGTCTGTATCAAATTTGGTCCAAATCGTTCGAGAGTTATCGAAAGACAGACGGACAGACGGACAGACGGACGGACATGACGATTACATAAGCCCTGGTTCGGGCTAAAAAGTGAATATCATTTAATTGTTGAGAAATAAATTGTCATACGACTACATAAATGACTCATCGTCAAAAATCAAGACATTTTAAATCATTGCTCACTCTTGGAATTTATTTTAAAATTCTGTAAATTTGTTTTTACTTAAGGTCAGAAGTTTCGATAAATTCCAATTTTTTAAGGCTTCCCAAAATTGAGATCTCCTCCTTCAAAATCTTTCAAAATCTGGAGTGTATATTTAAAAAAATGTCAACCCCTGCTCTATAATTATTTTCATAGTCGTCCAGAATTTTAAAATAAATTCCTAGAGTCGAGAAATGATAGAAAATGTGCAGATTTTGACGATTTTGGCAATGTGTCATCAAACCCTACGCAAGGTACTTACTTGGCTTCTTGGCCCCCGTTGAATCCGACTTTGATTTCGAGGAGTCACTAGCAGCACCTTTCTTCTTTTTGCCTTTTTTCCCACCTTTGCCACCTTTGCCACCTTTCTTCTTCTTCTTGGTGGACTTTTCTAGTTCGGGGGTACTTTCTCCAAACGTGGTGCTCATCTCTTCAACTTTCTCCTCCTCTTCTTCCCACTCTTCCTCGTGCCGGACCTCCTCCTCGACTTGAAGTTTGACAAAGTACGTCGTTCTGAGTTTGGCACTTTCGTCCGTCCCGAATTCGGATAAGTCGGTGGAGAGAAAGTTTTGGACGCCTTCTTCAACCCGTGGTTTAAGAAGACATTCTTCCATGAGCTCTTGGTCGTGTTCTTTGAGAAAGATGGACACGGTCTTTTTCAACCAAGCTATGCTAAGATGGGGAATCAAAAAATATTACTAATTTTCAGATAAGTAATGATTATCTTCTTACCGGAAGTCAGGACCGTCGTAAGGTGGCTCTTCTTCGGCTTCTTCTTCCTCTTCGTCCTTCTCCTCCTCTTCTTCTTCGTCGTCCTCCTCTTCTTCGTCATCCTCGCCTTCCTCCTCCCCCTGGTCCATCATCTCTTCGTCAAAATCGTCACCAGGTTCCATTGGGTCCATTCTAAATATGTAATGTGTTAAATGGGTCAGATTATGGTCAGGATGTCGTACAGTAAAGTTAAAATATTCCCAATTTCTTACGTGCGTGTGCGGAGTCAGATTAGAGTCACGACTCGAGCAGATTTACTCAATCTCTGAAAGAGTGAAAGTTTGAAATTTTGTGTATGTCATATGTATTTATCGACCAAATATTGGGTTGGATGGTTTACTTGGTCAATATTTCTGGAAACATAAGTTTGGTCTTGTCATGAATATCAAGGAACACGATTAACCTTTTAAAAACGGATTCCACCAATAAGGTGGAGGGCGATTTCGATCTCTTGGCGACGGACTACACCAATAAGGTGTAGGCCAAATTTTTCGCCTTAGCGACGGACTACACCAATAAGGTGTAGGCCAACTTTTTCTCGTTGGCGACGGATTCCACCAATAAGGTGTATGGTTACAGAATTCCGTTGAGACCGGGCTACATCAATAAGGTGTAGGAAAAAATAAAAATAAAATGACCGAGAAAATTTTCTCAGTTCCATTCTTTCCTCCTTATTTGTCGTTGGTTTTTCTTCAAGCCTGAACTAATTTTTTTAGAGTTTAGAGTTGTAGTTGTAGTGGGGGGAGGAACTCGGAGGAAGTGCATCAGAGGTCACGCCGCGCCCCCGAAAAATTATCCAACATTGGCGCCGCTAATAAATTGGTCGGCGTTGACCTCTGACCTGTATCATGTTGTAAATATGATACAGTTCATATTTTTTTAAAATTATCACAACGTTCTCTTTAGCTAATATATTCGCAATAGTGTCACCACCGATCGGAACAAGTCACAGAACACTGAAGGACAAAATTATAGCTAATAACTTGTTTAAAATATAAAATGCATCCCAAAATCAGTGTCATCAAATTGATGACATGAATGATGACGATTTATTCGTTTAGTTTATTTTTGTAGTACTATCAAAATCAAATCCGATCTTTTTATCAAAATTAATATCGTGTGTTCATTTGGTTCAGTTGCAATTTCATGTTAAAAATGTATTATGTTCTAATTTTTGTTGTCGAATCAGTTCCAGGTCTCTAATAAATCATAACTGCATAAGTAGAATATTCAAAATCGGTTTGCATTAATTCAGTCCCCAACTGATTTTATCACCGCCCCACAAGTCGGTCTCAATGGTATTCTGCCCCCCAGTAAATCCGCCCCCAAATGCAATAGAAACCATTTTTAATTCCGTTTTTAAATGGTATCCAGGTCAAAATTAATTAGTTTTTATAAGGTTAACTGACATCGTTTCTATGGGCGGTGCCCCATACGGTTGCGACAAATGAATTATTTTGAAAAAAAATTTTCATTTTTAAATCTTTGGGCCCAAAGTCCCCTTGTCGGGCCCAACGACTTTAACCTTGAATAACTTTTGAACAGGCAGACATAGAGACTTAATTCCTGAGGAGGATATCATCCTAATTTTTAGCTTGATTTTTTAAGCTAAAAATCTTGAGTGTACTATTTCGATAGCTAAAACGTTTATTTTGAAGAATATCCCCAAAATATAAGTTTTTCAGCCAATTCTTATCTCACAAAATTCTATAATATACCAAAGTGATCGTGTGATCTAGGCCGATCGATTGACACCCCACTGGAGGGTGTGGGATCACTTGACCCGGATTTGACCTAGGAGGTCATCTCAATCTTCCAACTTAGCAACGGTATTTTTCGTTATATCACACTATTTTTTCAGTACATAATAATTAAAATTTAATTTCTTCAAAAATGAAAATTTGTGTTGGAAACAATTCATTTGTCGTAACATGTATAGAATGATAAAGTGTCAAACAATGGGTGTGTTTTATTTGCATCGTTTTCATCATTCCAATCCTGATTTTGGAATGGAATGAAAATTTTTGCGTTTTATTTGTCATGGAAAAAATCAGGATTTGGAATGATTTTTACCAAAGTTCATTCGGAATGATCTTTTTTTCCTTCCTACTCGCGAGCTGGAGTGAACATGGAATGATGCGGTTTTTATAGCAGTTTTTCGGCTTTTAGTCAATTTCTTTATACAATTAAAATAACTTTATTTCAATTTAAAAATTAAAGTTTTCCAATTAATTAAAAAAATCAAAGCTAATTGAAATTCTGTTAAGAAATTCTACCAAATTTTATTTTATAATTTCCATTCCAAAAATGCTGAGATGGGAATTACTGTAAGATTTTCTATTTATTTTTCTAAAGATTTTGGGCGCATCTACAAACTTGATTACAAATTTTACATATTTTAAATCTGTAGCAAATTCAGCCCGATATGCAGATAACTTAACAATGAAGCACATCTTGCAGGGCTGTTGTACTTAATTACTCAATTAATTACCGACATTGAAATAATTAGTAATTGATTTCAATTACTCAGGCGTTTTTCAAGGTATTTAAGTATTCGAAGAACTCTGAGTAATTAAAATTTGAAGTATTTAATTACTTGCCCAAGTAATTGAATATTCAATTGTTATGATCAATTACTTAATCGAGCATACTTGTAATAAAATGCGACAAGTCTCCCTCTCCCGAACAACTCAAGATAATCATCTTTTGTTTCAATGTCGATTTCTTTGCAAAATCTAGCGTAAAGATCCTCCGAGCAATTTTAAATGGTTTGTAAATCATAACGATAGACTGTAAATACACAGTACTTGCAAAAGTTTTTTCCTGGATTTGTGGCAGAAAAAAAAGTTATTAAAAAGTAGAATTTAATTAATTTTATGAGAACTAATTAATTAATTCTCATAAAATTAATTAGTAATTAAAAAATCAATTACTAATGCGCAATTAAAAATGATTTTAGAAAAATCAGTAAAATAGTATTTAATTTCAGTGTTGTTTAACTACTCATAAAAGTAGTTGAACTACAACTACAACTATGTACTTCGGCTTCATTTAGTTAATTTTTACTACATTTCTATTCTAACTACATTCTAAAATCTAACCACTAACAACTTTTTAATTACTTTCATTTAACTACCTTTTACGGTGTAGTTGAATGAAAGAATAACTTTTACCTACTTTCTCTTGTTAAAATCATTGAAATACAAAAATTATTCACAACTGATTCATTGTATTAATTCCCTTCAAAAACATATTTAATTACGTTCAGGTAGTTGATATTTTTACTGGATTTGATCTTGCGTTTTATCACTTCCTGAGAATAATTAAGGCAGTCTGCTTCAACTAGAACACCATGAATTTAAGAACTTTTGAAAAACCCAATTTTTCATTAAAAAGATATTTGAGATTAGATGACATGTAGTTAAAAAGTAGTTGAAATGTAGTTGGTCAACTATACCATGGGAGAAAGTAGTTTACTGTTTAACTACATTTTTCAACTAATTTAACAAAGTAGTTAAATCTTAACTATAACTATTTTTTGCAAAAAATCGTAGTTAACTACTAGTTAACTACTACGAAACACACAAATTTAATTTAACCAAATTATTTTGTAAAATCCCTGTCAAATAAAACGCAAATTGTTTTATCATGGCAACTTTTCACACCATTCCAAAAATCCGTTTTATTTGCGAGTAAAATCATTCCATTCTCATTCCATTCCATTCTCGTTCCATTCCATCCAAAAATCATTCATTCCATGGCAAATAAAACACACCCAATATTGATCAAGGAATTATGTACAATTTTATTTTCTATAGTCAAGTTAGACTTTAGCATCTCATTTTAGTATCCAAGTTACGCTTGTGGTTCTGTATGCCTTGCAGTCAAGCATTTCATGAAAGAATCCTACTCGATAAATTCTATTCCATTCAATCGTCTGACTATATTTTCTACTGCACGTGTCATTCATCATATCGCATAAATAATTATAAGCAATGGCGAAAGCTAAGGGAAAGAAGAAGGGAAAATCCCCCGAAAAAGGGAAAGAACTTTCTCCCGAACTCGCCCAGTTTCTTTCCGCAGGCAACACGGATGCCGATGAGGGTATTTCTTGACTACATATTTATTAACTGTGCAAAATGCATTGCTTCGTCTACTTATTTCCAACTTACTCTTAACTTCTAATATGTAAAAGGGGAAGAGACCGGTGCTGATGAAAGTACCACTGCGACCGACTCCAAGAAAAAGAAGGGCAAAGGAAAAGGCAAGGGTTCCAAACGGAGCAAAGGGTCCAAGGGCAAGAAGGGCAAGAAGAAGAAAAAGAAGGCGAAAGAAGAATCCACGCCCACTGAAACGAAGCCTCAGTACACCCAAAAGGACATTGATGACTACCTCCGAGCCAAAGAGAAGAAGAAAAGGAAGCAGAGGGAGATGAGATTGGTGCAAATATTGAATTTTTGAAGATAACAATTTTTTTCGAAATTATACAATTTTATTTTTGAAGTCCTGCAGGTCGAGAAAATGCAAAGCATGATTTCTCTCGTACGTTCGAACGACCCTCGATGGACGACCTGGACTTTGGCACCGCTTTATAAATTCCTCCGCATCGCGAATGTCGAGGTTGCCACCATCTTCCTGAGAAAGTTTGAGGCCAAGGAAGACAAGAAATTGGCCTGGGCAGAAGAAGACGATGACGAAGATTTACGAAGACAGACGTTGCCGTTGGATAAGCGACGTAGTTCACGAGTAATAAAACTGCATATTTTTGCACATATTTTATTATTTCTGTAAAAAATTCTGCATAATTTTTCTTTCGTCAGGTTATTTCTACGAGATACTCAACTCACAAGAAGCCAGTCGAAGACGTGAGCGGATCTGGAAGTCGGACCTCAATTTTCTCCGGTGTTGAGTCCGGACGAGTGGAAAAGGCGTCAGTTTCAAGATTGTCGCACGTTTCAAAGACGCACGTGCCGGGTGGAGGAGGTGGAGGCCCTAAAACGGTGGATGGTTATCAGCTCATCGTGGTCAACGACGTGGTCCCCAATCACTCCCCGGATATGTTTTACTTTGTGAAACTGAGACCAGTGATGGTTGACAGGGACAATTTTTTTGAAGATGTGCTTTTCGGCAATATCCCGGGAGGGTATCTTACCTCGCTGCATTCGTTAATGTCGTACGTGTTGACGCCGATGTTTTACCAGAATGGCGTTCTACCGGAAAGTACGAGTTATTAATTTTTGTATTATCATTACAATTTATGGATTTATGTGGAATTTTGTTTTTCAGGCATTGCCAACGACTTCTACGCCAGCACGAACAGCTTCATGAGCTCGATTACTGAAACGCACAACCGGCTCCTGTGTCAAACGGTACTTTACGTTCCCAAAGAAGCGTTGAGTGCTCCGATTGATATCGTTTCTAAAGATAAAGAAATCTGTTCTCGGTTAGAAGCCGCCATGGTGCATTGGATTCGTCAGGTGATATATTTTATATTGAAAATAATTTGTAATTTGTAAACAAAATTTATTTAATCAATTATCCACCTTTTAAACTTCGACGTCATCCCCAAAATTAACAAAATTCGAAAAAAATTCTTATCATTTGTGATTCCCAATGACTTTTTATCAAAATAACTGGCCTGCTTATTTTTGCAGTACGGATTCAAAAAGATTTCCATTTTTTAATTTTTTCAATTTTTCAATCCACCAGATTCAAGAAGTCGTTAGTAATCAAACTATGTCAGATAGTGAAGACTGGTCAGGACCGCTGGACGAGATTGCATTTTGGCAGACAAGGAGTATGTACACATTTCAATCTGCCTACAAATTACAGCTTTATTAGCCATTAATTAACTTAATGACCTCCACCTTAGACGAGGATTTGGCCGGCCTTGCCGCCCAACTGAAAAGCACTCCGGTCCGCACCGTTCGTCAAATCATGACCATAATCAAATCTCCCTTTATCACGAGTTTCAACGCGATCGCGTCCGAAATTTTGGGCGCTGAAGCCGAAGCCATCAGCAACCTTCACTATCTCAACGTTCTCGTTGAACCCTGCACGAAATTGCATAACTCCAAAGTTGCCGAAATTCCCGACCAGTTACAAAATATTTTATGGCTCATTCGCGTCATTTGGTTGAACTCGCCCTTTTACAATTCTCGCGATCGGCTCAACAGCCTCTTGAGGAAAGTGAGTTCTGAAATTATTAGTCACTGCATCAAAGAAATCGACGTCGATCAAGTGTTCAACGGGCACATCGCGACTTCCGAAGAATTAATCAACCAATGTGTCGACTGCTTAAAATTATGGAAAACTAAATACTTTGAGGCGCAAAAGATGCATAATATGAATTCCTACATGTCCTGGTTGTTGGAATATGATTACATTATGTCGCACGTGGACGTCTTCCTCCACAGGTTGAAGGACCTCTTGGAAATTTGTGTGTGTCAACGCCTCTACGCACGAAGGGTGGCGGGTTATCAAGAACCACTCCCGCGCTACCCGGGCGTCAAAGGACCGGAAATTACTCGCGTCATGAAAAAAGTTCAGAAACTGCTGGATCGCAATTTGAAGGACATGTACACAGCGCAAGATTTAATTTTGAACGTGCGAAACACCCAGTGGCACGATTACATGGTCATGTTCCGAAATGCGATCCGTGACATTGAAACGATGATTCAGAACGTGCTGTTCCTCGCGTTTGACTCCGTGGAGAATATCGAACAGGGGATTCAACTCATGGAAGTTTTTTATGTCTTTGTCTTTTACGATAGAAGTATTATCGTTCGAGCATATGACAAATTGATTATGAAGTTTTATAAGATTTTTGAGGATGAAATTAGCAGTGTAAGATCGCTGTTTAATGAGGATGTCATACCACTGCCGGCAGGACAGCCGAGACTGGCCGAGAGGGGGATGAGAGCGTTAGAACTGCAGAAGAGGTTGGATCTCCAGTTGGAAATGCTGAAAGAGGCGGCTTGGTAAATGTAACATTTAGCTAAGGACTCATCCCGAATGTCATTTCTCGGCTTTGGGAATTTATCTAAAAATTCGGACGGCTAATTTGTAGAGCAGGTCGTTGCCAATTTGTTTTAAATATACACTCCTGATTTTGGCAGTTTTTGAAGGAGGAGATTTCAAGTTTAAGAAGCCTTCAGAACTCATCAAAAGTGGCTTATCATAATTTTGAGAAACTCACCGCAATTCTATTAATCAACTTACTGGCTACAAATTTGCCATCCAAAATTTTACAATAAATTTCCAGACCCGAGAAATGATTTTAAAAGTCCTGATTTTGGTCAAACAGTCCTACTTTAATTGAATGGAGGGGGACATTTATTTACTAAAAAGTATTACGTTTTTAGGTGGCTCCCTGAATGTGGGTACGGCGACGACATCAAAGAGCAGGCCCACGTTCTTTCTAAAACTTTAGAGGAAACGGCACAAGTTTTGAATCAAGGATGGTTAAAAGTATTGGGGCCAAATAACCTGTATCCTCACTTGGACATTCCCCTCATGACGAGAAGCACCTCAAAGTTTGGCATGATTGAGATCAATTTTGACAAAATGCTGGCAGTCAACATTCTTCAGGCTGAACTGTGGGAAAGTATCGGATTTCCGATTCCTGATGTTTTGTGGGATGTCTTTTATGAGAGGTTGCACTGATTTATTTGCTGAGAAATTTTAAGCTTCATAATAATTACTATGTTAATTATTCTGTTGGGTAGAAAACGACTCCAAGAAATGCGAGAAACAGTTCAAAATGTGGTCACCGATTACAACAGCATCATTTCCTCCTTATCCGTTGAAGAGAGGCAACTGTTCCGAGAACGAATTAAAGTCTTGGACCGAAAGGTTTACTAAACGTCTCATAAATTGAACTAGAACAAATTGACGTAACATGTTTCAAATAATTTTTTACTTTGTTCTTTCAACCCAAACAGATTTATCCCGGTCTTACGAAACTAATTTGGTCCTCGGATGTGTCAGAGTCGTATACACGAGACTGTCGCATGGCTGCAACCACGGTGGCCAATTATATCACGGATTATAAAAACGCCAACATAAAAATTGGCAAGCTGGCGACGAAAATCAGCAATTACGTTATGATAAAAGTGGACCCCAAACAGATTTTTGAAAAGGCCGACTTTAACGATTATCAAGATACGACAAGGTACACAATGAGTAGAACTTACAATGGAGGTCTCGCAGCGTATACTCACAGATTTGGAGATAACTTGTGTAAATCCATCACAAATTTAATTAATATGAAATTTGCATTGCAAACAACATTATCTGCCAATTCTCAGGTTTGGTAGAGATATTTGCATCCAAAGAGGAGGAAACGTGCAGTGTAAAATTTATCAACTTCAGAGCGCACTTTCTCCTCTTCGGATGCAAATATCTCTGCCAAACGTGCCCATTGGGAGATCGTATCTTTTTCAAATTTCATACTAATTAATTTTGTGATCGATTGACACTAATTTGCTCAAAATCAGAGAGCATAAACTGACCTCAATTGTTAGTGCGAGAGACATGTAAAAATTCCATAAATTCTTAACAGGAGCAAAGCCATCCTGAAAATCGCCATGAAATACAAAGACATCACTGAAATTCTTCGCGACGTTTTCGAAATGTTTAAGACGGATGGACCAGAGGTCAAAAATCAGTGGATGAAATATCTCAAGAAAATTGACACTCTTGTCGAGGAAGCGTTATGCCTCAATATGAGACAGTCCCTCCAAATCCTTCATCACACCGTGCACGGCGATCTGAGAGGTCCACCTCCCCCAATTTTCAAACTGGTGGTGACTCTGGATGAAAAATTGCTGGATTTTGACCCTCCCGTCCCCGTCGTTGAAGACATGATATTGGGAATTTATAGAAGAATTTGCATTTCGATTGCACCATTCCCTCGTGTGATTCAATTCTTGACGGATCCAGATGCGCAAGTTACTTCGTTTGCGCAAGTATTTTTTTCGAATTTTTCAAAACGTTAAAATCTGTATTTCAAATTCAAGTTATGATTTTTTTAGGTAATTGCAAAAGATGAAGTATGCCGAGCAACTCAAGACCGTATAGCGGACGGGATGCGAATATGCGTCACTGAAATTGAGAAATATCTCCAATCCTGTGAACCATACCGCGACGTGTGGGAACTGGACAAGAACGTCTTCATGGAATTGTACGAAAAACAGAATCCTGCCACGTCCTCATATGACACCGATATTGGACGCTATTCCGAAGTTTTAGACGTCGTCCAGGGATGCGAGAGCATTGTAACGGTGACATTTTGCACCTTGGATTGCACCACGCTGCAAGAAATTTTGTCCGAACATTGTCGCGAATGGCAGAGCCGACTTTTGACCTCGCTCTTTCAACGGGGCGCAGTCAAGCTGGCGCAAATCTACAGTTTCATGGAAGAAAGTCTCTCCAAATTTACAAAGGCACCGAAAACCCTGTCCGATCTGATCAACGCGGTGAGTCTGTTTCGCGAAGTTCAGGCTGCCGTGACCACGTTGGAGAGATCATTTCCCAAAGTTTTTGAGCATTTTGACGTTCTCGATAAGTACGAGTTTGATGTGGGGAGTCAAATTCAAGATAAGTTGTCCACCTTCGATCGTGATTGGCATAAGGATTTGACATCGCTGAAAAACGTGGAGGAAATGTTGCGATCGGCCAAGGAGAAGATGAAGAAGTTGGTGACCACGATGGCAGAAGAGTTTAAAACCAAGGTGGACGAGTTGGTGGAATCTTTCGGTGCAGTCGAGTGGGGGATGCACGACCCAGAGACGGCGATAGAAGAGCTACAAAAATGTAGGGCCACGGTCATTCAGTTGAAGAAGGATGAGGTAGACTTGGTGAATTCGCTGACAATTTTTAAACTGGATATGGCAGCGAGTGATGACTTGAAAAAACTGGAAAAAGAATTGGTTCGGTATGAAAATTTACTGGGGGTACAAGCCGGAGATGGACTCAGTATTACGGCGAGTACCATGACGGCATCTGCGCCACCGCCGCCCCCAAAGGCGGAAAAAACGCCAACTACGAAGACTAAAGGGAAGCGGAAATAAATGAGTTTCGTTTTCGTAAAAATAATGACAAAATAGTAGCATCGTGAAAATAGTTACAATAAATTAACATTACGTTTAACAGAATTATACTTTCGTCATACATTGCTTCAAATATTTACAACATCAAGATTAAGATATAAATATTTTTTGGACAGAAATCTTAACTATAACTATCGATAATGATTTTTGAAAATAACAATATTAATAATGATTAAATATATCAATTTCCTGTGGTCACAATTAGATCGTAAACAGTCAACATTCCAGTGTCTAAATATATACAAAACAATATATAATACCTACTCAATAAAAACCAGAGCTGGGTGATTATTGGTTTTTGAGGGTGGATTAAGGATTATGGATTAACCACAAAATAATGTGGATTGTGATTAAATTATTTTCGTCAGATTAATTCATGTCAGGATTAATCCGGATTAATCCATAAATTCTGAAAATTTCAGGATTATGGATTATGGATTAATAATCCGGATTAATTTGGTGATTAATGATTTTAGTAAAATCATTTTACACTACCTAAAGGTATATCTAGCGCAACAAATTTCAACTATGTGGTTTCACATAAAATTTTTAAAACGCTAGTTTCAAATTGAAACTTTCAATTTACTATCCCCGTACTTAGGCTTTGCACCTCATTTGCATAAATCTCAATAGCCCATTTTCGGCGATACGAGCTTTCCATGTTGAATAAACTCTATGGCTCTCGCGAATGCGTTAAAATATGCAAATGAGGTGCAAGGGCTGAGTGCGAGGATAGTATATATGTAGCACAAGGCAGCGAGAACATGTTGACTCTTAAAATGGTAGCTGATAGGACAAAGTTGTCAGAACTTAAGACTTCAAGCTGCACAGTGGGATAAAATGGAACTGTGGGGATTGAACCGAGTAATCCAGATTGAGAATTAATCATGAATACGTAATCATGATTGGGATTAATCTGGATTAATAATCATGATTAGTAATCATGATTGGGATTAATCAGGATTAGTAATCCGTAATCACGATTACGGATTAATGACATATAATGGGATTATTCCCGGATTAATTCTAATTCCAGAAAAATCGGGATTATGGATTGGGATTAATCTACAAAAAACTCTCATTGCCGGATTAGGGATTGATAATCCATAATCCGGGATTAAAATCCATAATCCTTAATCAGGATTATCCCAGCTCTGATAAAAACCGACTTCAACTCGCAGTCAAGATTTTGTGTTTTGGTGGGGTGTATTATATTTAGTTGTGTAAAACTATCTGTAGTAAGTTTGATCCGTATGTAGTCTTACACAACTAATTATAAAGGACAAATTAATTACAAAGTTACAGAATCTTGTCGCAGAGTTAGTTCAGTTTGGAGAATCACAAATTGAATTAATCCGAAGGGAAATGGAAGTTTATAAATTTTTATTGACTATTTATGTTTCTTCTTGTTCCCCTTCTTAACTTTATGAGACGACTTTGAAACTTTGCCTAAATCATAGGCTTTGGAATGATGATGCGAATGATGGTGGTGATGATGATGAGATGATGATTTTATAGATCCGCTAGCACTATCTTCACCACCGCTTTCCGCGGCATGGGATTCAGATTCGCTATTCCTAATTGATAACATGATCATCAATATCATCAACAGGCTAATATATGTATATTTGAATTTAGTTTACCTATCCGTCTCTTGTACATATCCATTCACGGCCGCCATTGACGTAATGGAAGACTTTGAAAAGAGTCGTTCGGCTTCTTTAAATTTTCTATTCCTCTTATCCGCCTTGGTATTGGCACTGACACTGGGTTTGGATCCTGGAGCGCTGTAATAATAAGGGATAAAATATGTTTAAACCACTGAAGAGTACTGAAAACATAGTGTATTTTTAAATGTATTATGTACGTGTAGCGATCCCATCCTCGAATAATGTTTCCATATAGCTGTGTATCTTCGAGATAAGAACCTTCGAATGCATAAATTTGCCGTTCTAGGATCGCTAATGTGTCCTGTTAAGTGAAATGAACAAATACATTTAGCATAACTTGAAACTTTTCGTAAACGCCCTGCTCATTTGCTATATGTATGTTCATATTATTAGTATGTTACCGTTAATTCACAACGACGTTTCACCAAATCTGCAAGTTCTTGCCTTGTATCTAATAAATTTGGTTTTGTGGGAACTTTATCCATCTTAGTAAGTTGATTTTGAATTTATTTTGTAAATTTATCAGCTCTAGAATTAATTAATTGAACATTAAAATAAGCTGAAAACCAGCTTGTTATTTATTGTTTACCGGTTTACATTTCCCGCCATCCGAGTCTCACCCGGCTGTTTTATTTCTGTGTTCTGACACTGCCAGAATTTTAGGAATTTTTGTAAATAAAGAATATTTTCGAAATAATTAATTAACTAGTCATCAAAAGAGCTTTTTAGATAACTTAAGATAAGTCAGAATAATGAGTATCTACGTATCTCGTGTTGTTCAATTGGACGCTTTAATCCTGGACACCGAATTTTATTCCTTGATAAAAAATCAAGTGTTCAACATTTTAAATAAATTTCAGGTATTTATGAAGATTTCAATTAAAAGCTTTCAAGTTAAAGGTTAAACTAATTTCTACTTTTTACAGCTCGGAGGAATCGCTCAGAAATATGGACCGGAGATTCAGCTTCTCGCTAAATTTGTAATTTGGAGAGTAAGTAAATCAATTGAAAATGAAATACAATCAAATTTTAAATGCACTCATGATTGATTTTTCTTTTGTGGATGGATGTAGCTCAGCACTTACCGGAAAGATGCATCCATCGGCCAAACCCTTCTTGGAATTAAGTATTTTAGCGATAAATCCATATTGAAATACCTCTTTGTTTTTGAATCTGTGATTCCATACTTATACGAAAGATGCGTTCCTCTTTTAAGATCTCAACCATTTTATCCAAAGGTAAAGCAATAATCCTAATTTGTTAAGTTTGCCATGTTTATTTTGTACTAAAAATTGACAATCGTATGATTAGATAGAGAAACCACTACGTTATGCCGAAGATGCCATAAAAATATGCGAAATACTCAACTTTTTAATGTTCCTGATGCAAAATAAGTACCCGTCATTGGTCAATCGTATCCTGAAAGTGAAGATGACACCTGCCTTTGACCGTGTTAATCCGGTTGTGGGATATTCTTATCAACTCCGAGAAATGTTGTGGCACCAGTTTGCAGTGAGTAATAGATGTACGACACTTTTTACATGGGCGTTTATTTATGTATGCAATAATCTTGTTCCAGGATTTTTTAATTATCGTCCTCCCAATTGTAAACATCCATCGAGTGAAGCGTTACTTACGTCAGTGGGGGTTCAATTCAACAACATCTTCCACACCGGTCTCAAGAAATGGCGGAACTTTAAGCCACTCTGTCTTAAAGTGCTGTCTATGCAACGAGGATGCCGTGATTCCGCAACATTTTGACAGTTGTGTGTTTTGCTATTATTGTTTAAAAGCTAACAAAATGGCAGATCCAGAATTTCGTTGTACAAGTTGCATTCATGCAAGTAAACCGTAAACTTGTTCCACCGCAGATGAATGTTAGACTGTTAGTAATTTACTCAAACTTTGTCCTATGTTATGTGTTTTATTATGTTTATTAAATTCTGACAATGTATGCTTAAACCTATTATTTATTTGACATTTATTTATAAGGTTTCGTACAAGTGGTATCATCATCATCATAATCTTGTGAAGGTGTATGTACAGATTTATAACACTTTACAGAGTGTTAATTATTCCATATGTAATATTTATTATGTAATACAGATAATCATTATTGGTGGGGGTCCAGCAGTATATTGTATCATATCAAGTGTATGTACATTTATATGTATATTCACGTTATTAAAGTGGGGAGGACAAATGTAACAATTAGGTGTTAGGTGAACAGTATATCGACACCTGACAACAAAGGATGAAACCATTTCTACAATTAATTGGTTGAGTTGAAGGGGGTGCGAATAGTTAGTAATTATTATTTTTGGTATTTTTGTGGAGGTGGTGGTGATGTTGGTGTCGAATTTTACACGGTGGTCCTCAAGATATTATGCAAGAGTTCCGCTTGGAGTGTCGATCTCTGAGTGCGGCGAGCTGTTGTGGGGTTGGGACATGTACTGGGGGTGCGACTGAGGTCGACGCAGATGCCGATGCTACTCCACCTGAGAGAAAAAATATGAATCACATGTTTTTCTAAGGTGAGGTAAAAAAACTATAGTTACAGTTACACCTTAGTATGCATTCACCCCCCCCCCCCCTTCGAAAACTTTGACCGCGCCCTACAGCCAAGGGGGTGCGTTTTAGAGAAAAAAATAAAGAGACCGAAAAATCAATTACGGACATAATCTAGTGCTATTGAAAGGGATTTTTCGATATGACCTCCCAGAAAAAAGTTTTGATGGTGGTGAATGGTTGCGTTTCGCAATTTAAGTATGAAGGAGACTTTCTACATAGCTGGGTATTTAAATTTATGAAAGATCGCCCCAACTTTACTATAAAGGGAAACAAGAATTAGGTGGATTGGTTGAGAAACCAGCGACTTTTCCTTATAAGGAAAATTTCCGAGTGGTTGCTATATAGTAACTGTATAGTTACACCCTCGCCATGGAGTAATTTATAGTCTTAGCCCGTGATTATGGGACTCATGTCCGTCCATGAACACGATAGACTTGAAATTTTATCATATGCATATTGCAAAGCTAGGAAACAAGTTCAAAGGTGGGCGAAATCGGTCAAATGGTTGACCCGTGGGGGTCATCTAAGTGAGTGGGGTGCTATGTACCAGATTTCAAAATTGTTTTAGAAAGCTGAAATTTGGCATACAGATTGTTAATGGCTCCTAATGGAAGAATATAAACTGAAATTGGAAAAATTTTTGTCTAGAGGGACCCTATGGGGTGACCCTCACCGATTTTTGAAAATCGTCATATCGAGCTGAAATTTGGTACAGATAATGTTGATGGGTCCTAATGGAAGAATATGAATTGGAATTGGGAAAATTTGTATGTGGAGGGACCCTTTGAAGTCAGCCACACCTTTTAGAAATTGTCACCAATGGTTTTAAATATACTTAGCTTTAACACGTAAGTCGAAGCACAAATTTGAGAGTGGTCAGGAATATCAAAACAAAACTTGATATCTTTTAACTGACACTTTTAAGACGTATGCTGTAAATTTGAACGAATTAAATTGGCTACGATATCCGCAAGACTAACGGTGTAAACGTTCCTTTATAGCGTACAATAGTGGTTATATTCTATATTTGCTTTTAAAATTCAAACCTAAAAAAGAAATAAATAAAACAGCTTGAAAAAGTAAAAATTTCTAAGGTGAGGAAGTGCACTTAAAAGTATTAAACAAGCTCCCCACACCTCCACCCAGATAATTTTACTTCGCCTGGGCTGTCTACTGCATGCAAAAAATATCTGTAAATATTAATAAATGAAATCGTACATTTGTAATATTCAACAAGAAATAAATTTGTTGGACTTTATTACGTTGTGAAATTGTAACACAAACTGCTAAACCGGAATTTTATACTGTTATTAAAAAATCGGTTCTAATTAAGCCGCACAAAGACTTATTTAACCAAAAAATCTAAAAACAATGGTTGCCACTGTATAGCAGATATATATATTCAGAACTTCCTTCAACAAGAACGATGACGAAGTAGTTACCCAAATAATTAATTAATGTTTAGGGACGGATGAGCCATATGTAATAATTACTACCAAATGGACATAATTGGTAATACCCTAGCATCCAGAATGTACATAGTGTTGATTTGGAAATTAACCAATTCAAAAGTTACAGACTGTACCTTTAGGTCAAGAAATTAATTCTAATGTTTATTTTCTTACATGACACCAAAGCATTATTGTCGATATTTTTTACATGCAGTAGACAGCCCAGGCGAAGTAAAATTATCTGGGTGGAGGTGTGGGGAGCTTGTTTAATACTTTTAAGTGCACTTCCTCACCTTAGAAATTTTTACTTTTTCAAGCTGTTTTATCCATCAGAAATCGATAAGCTGATTATCCAAATTACTTACCAGGGAGAGACTGGCGTCGTTTCCGCAAAGCCGGACTGAGTCGATACGTAACCTTCGCTTGAGTTAGGAGTTCCTTGAACACGTCTGTGACCCTGTGACATATATATGAAAATGGTCACGTCATTTAATGATAATGCACCCATTAATAATTTTATTACCGACCTGTCTCCCGTTTTGGCGGAGCATAGGACAAAACCATGATTCCATCGATTGACAACTTTTTGTGCTTGATTCTCATCAACGCGATGTTCCTCGGAATCTAAATCTGTTTTATTTCCAACAACCACCAAGGGAATTCCGTCTCCTTTCGACTGCACGACTTGGTTACGCAATGTTAACATCTGCAAATGGTCAAATATAATAGCGTCACTTTTATGATGCTTGCATAAGTTTATGTAATTAACCTCATCGAAAGACGTGTCATCATCAACAGCATAAACAATAATGAAGGCGTTGGACTGCAAAAAATGCAAATTATTCGCTATAAAAATGACTCACGACATCATTATTTTTGGCCGAGGAAGCGTGGGGACAGAGGGACAATGTCCCCACGGTTGTTTGATGTCCCCATCATCTCCCCATGTTATATAAACCCATCCCTCCTCCATCCTACAATGTTAAAGTCCCCGCATGTCCCCACGGCTTCTGCGGCCCCAAACTTTACCGAATTATTAACTCACCGATGCAATGTTTAACGTTTTCATGGCTGGAAATTCATACGATCCTGACGTGTCCAAGATGTCTAATGTCAGTGAAGCACCTTAAAAAAGAAAATTTCAATTTAACAAATTAGTTCAGTTAGTGGAAGAATAACTTTTTAAGGGTTGCAAGAAATGGATCTTGTTACCTCCAATTGGAAAGTCTGCCCGGTGCATCTGTTATATGTAACGAAGCATTATGCAATTCAAGGCTGGAAATTGTAATTGTATTTATGTTACGTAACCCGATATCACACTTACCTCTTCCACCGTCCTTCTATACTTTCCTGTCCAAGTGTCATACAGAAATCGTTGAATTATCGCCGTTTTGCCCACCTACATAAATCACTCCGTCAGAGCGTGAAATCATTATACTCTCGAACCATCAGGGATGGGCAAAATATTTCGAGCTCCGTTCTTCCCAGGGTTGTTACACCCACAAAATCTAGAAGAGAAGGCAGCAGTCATTCGAAAATGCAAGGTTTTTGAAGAGATTAACTTTTTGTCGCTGTCAAAACACTTTATTTTTTTTAAATCGTCAAAATAATATGTATTTCGACAGATATAAAAAGTTAATTTCTTCAGGAAACCTGTATTTTCGTACGACCACGTAGATTCTCGCCTTTTTGTGGGTGTAACACCCCCGGAAATCTAAACCTGGGAAGAACAGATCTCAAAATACTGAAATTTGACAATGTATTTTGCCCCTTCCTGCCAACCATGACCACAAGTTTCACCAGATTTCATAACTTTATGCATTCATTCTCACCCTCGCTGAACCCAGCATCATAACCTTATAACCAAGTTTGCTGGGTCCTTTCGTCGGCGTGGATGCCGTCGTCCTCGCTTTTGGTGGCGTCGGGCTGGGTGATCTCCTAAACCTTGACGACGGTGGACTTAAACTGGGCTGCAAACTGGGTTGCGGTTGGAGACTGAGACGTCGCCCGGTCCGTGGTCGGGGTGGAGTTTGTGACATCGCTGCCGTATCGGAACGTTGGAGACGTGAAGGAATCATCTTCTTGAATGCAAGGTCTCCTTTTTCTTCCTCTGGAAAAACACAGCGAAAGGAAATCACATAATTAAAATCAGTTCCACGAAAATCGAGTACATCCTCGAGAAGAATTCTGTACAGGGAGTAGCACCATTATTCGATATCAATCAGTGGTACGTGACTTTGGGAGAGAATTCAAAAGCTCAGGCAGTCAGTCATAGGAGACCTTTTTACTCCTCTCCTGATGATGAATTTAGCTTAGTATGCCTCGCACCAGTGGCGGCGGAAGCGTGGGGACAATGTCCCCAGAGTGATTCGATGTCCCCATCATCTCCCCATGTTATATAAACTCCCCACTCCCCCATCCTACAATGTTAACGTCCCCAGCTGTCCCCACAGCTTCCGCGGCCACTGTTCACTCGCTCAGTTATGTATGTACTTGACGCGAGACCTCTTCACAACGACATGGGGATGATGATGATGGCCTCTCTTCTTTTGGTCTCCAATCTCACTGCATCGCATTCATGCCTATTCGGCCAGAATTCCTTAATTTCCGTAAACTAAAATAATTGGTATGGTTTACACTCTGCGTCATCGCATCGCATCGGTCACGTTGCGTTGCGTAGGACTACGGCTGCTCGAAACCACTTTTGATGCCCGAAATCTAGTCGTTCGTCATTTATTTAAATATAATGATGGATCCTTTCGAGATAAAGCGTTGCACAAGGACGGCCAGTTACCGCGGAAGCTGTGGGGACATTCGGGTTAACATTGTAGGACAGGGGAGGGAGGGTTTTATACAACATGGGCAGATGATACGGACATCGAACAACCGTGGGGACATTGTCCCTCTTTTGTCCCCTCAAGCTTCCGCAGCCACTGATGACCACGGAACGGACGCAGACCTTTGTATTCATTTCATATCGTACCAACAACTATCTCATCCCATGTTGCGCAATAAATTACTGGAGAAATGGAGATCATGTAAATTCATGGTTTCATTTTATACACAGCTTCCCTGATTTAGCTCCACGTCGGAATGTAATCCCTTATAAATAATTTTGCGATTTAATTTCGGTTGCGTTTTCCCATTCGAAGCAAAGAAACAATGGAACTACATACATACATGTACATACATACTCTCGTACACCTGCAATACATCAATTTCCCGACAGTCACATTCCCCTTATTTTCCGAGATGGAAAAAGACCCACATTTCCTCATTTTCTTTTGGCAATCTCTTCGTCCCCACTCTCAACTCTCCGAATCCTGTGACAGCTAAACATAGCAAGTGACATGTAACGGAATAATGGAAGGAAAAGAAATGGCCGGGATTAGAAGACCGAAGAAAATGCAAGGGTGTCCTTTTCGAAGAGAAAGCAGGATAATGGGTACGGACCACGACCACCAAGATAGCAAGTAAGTAAGTATAGAAAGCCTGCAGAGTGGACATGTGAGCACTTTCTCTCCCACTTTCTCCTCCAGAAATCGAGATGCAGATCCGGATTTATGACTTTCGGGGCAACCTGCAATTCTCGGTCGGTCCGTTGGACGACGACGGAGTGATTGATTGCGAACCTCTCGGTGAGACAGCTACGCCGTACTTCCATTAATTTTCACCAGCGTAAAGGAAGTCGGTGGTGGACGGTCCATATCTCACGTTGACATCGACATCGTTGGTCCGCCCCCTCTGGGTAAATTATCTTTGTCGACAATTCATCACCCAGAATGCGTTGTGTTTGTGTAGCTTATCTATCTAATGAGACATACGATATACTCATTTATTCTTTGGTTTAGCTTGTCAACGGGCCACTTATCACTTAAACATTATGCATCACGCATATCTTGATTACACGAATTAATTTACTTTATCGAGGAACAATGTTTACTACATGTGCCAATCACATTAGGAGAGAAATCAATACTCAAAACAAAACAGATTCCGATCTACTTGTATATTTTCCTTGTTAATTAATTACGTAGTAAAAGTTAAACCTCGAGCTTTTCAAGTCCACGAGAATATTTCGAGAGGATGGAATTATAAACTTTCTCCGGCTTAAAACAAACAACAAACGTAATTCCATCTGATTCCAGAATGAATAAAGCAAAACTCAACAAGCAGCTTATATCTCAAAAACACTACACATTTCATCCATTAAATCCACCTTGATATCCTGTCCCAATTCGTATATACAATATTTGCATATTGTTTACTTTTCGCAGAGAGAGAGAGAGACGAGTGAATTTTACTTTCTCCTCCAAATTTGCAGCTCGTTTCTCTTACAAAACAGTGCAATTCACATGAAATGTGATAGCGTAAATGTGGCTCGGCACACAATAATAAGTTTCATCGCCATTGTGCACCACTGCCACGGCTGCTTTCACCAAGTTCCCTCCGCTGCTGGTTCGTGGTGTGGTTGAGGAGGAGTAAGTGAGCTTTGTGAATCAATTAGTAACGGGATTAGGTGTCGTTTCCTCGAGCAAAAGCTTTGATCCGACGACGTCGTCGGTGGCGTCGAGGCGAAGAAAATGTCCACAAACAGCTAGCCCTACTTTCTCCCCGTGTGTCACCTTTGCAAACCGCAACCTAATGGGCATCCAATCTCCCTCGAGAACTTAAAACACCTGCCTGACTGCCTTCTTATTTTTGTTACATCATCATCTCACACCCGCCACCAACACATATGTGTCAACAAAATAACCGACTAAATGGATAAAGGCGACGACTACACTACGTACGGAGCAGAAAACTTGTTTGATTTAACCCTGCCGCTTTATACCAATATCAATTTCAGGCTGTGCTTTCTCCAAATAAATGAACCTGTAAGAAGAGTAAGCGATGGACAGTGCGTTAACAGGGGACGACGAAATTGCAGCAAGACAAAGAGAAAGCAGCCAACCAACCAGTCACATTACTTACTTTCACCAGTTCCATTGTTTAATATAAAAGAGAGGAAAAAGAAAGAAAGAAAGGTTCCTTCGTGTAATAGAAATTGAATAATCTCCTCTTTTTGCCTCTGGTCGGGACTAGAACGGTGTCAAAACTGCGAGTAAAACCAGTCCGTCCTCTCCCCAGAAGTGAGGACCAGATCAAATTTGTTAAAACGAAGCTTACTTACTTACGTGCGCCCACCTTGTCCTTCGTCTCCGAGAGAAAAGAACACTTTACTTGAGGAAGTAGACAAAATCACAATTTTGGAAAAGTAAGTAAGTACACGTCGTCTTCCGTAAGTAAGGTTGTTATTCATCCTCTCTTCTCTTCCCTCCCACGACCGATCTCGGTCTGAAATCTACAAGTAATTGGCTACTCTGTGTGTTTCCCGTTGTATCAAAGTGCTCATTTTTCGAGTCAGGTAAGTATCTAGTACGTGCAGAAAAAGATAATGGAGCTTGAGAGACATGCACTAAAAGATGACTACATTATTATTGCTGGGTTGCTTCGTCTTCATTGTAAATATATTTCATCCCAGGAGAAGAAGAAGAAGATTATTATTTTGTGCTTATACACACGCAAAATTACGGGCATAAGTCGCAAATAAAAATCTGGATGAGTCTTCATCTCGTCGTAAACTTTGAGAAAAATCAGTCAGTTTGGCTGGGGCTGGTTCGTTTAGTAGAAGTGAAGTTCAGTACAAACACTCGATAAGTTTGGTTTGGTTGGTTGGTTGGTCCAGCTTTCTTCGTCTTTAAAGGAAGAAAATGTGCTACGGACGAAAGTCAAGTCGAGTTTTATTTTACGTTCGTTGGTCCGTTACTCATTCACTACTACGAAAAGATTTGCTATATCCAATGTACAATAGTTGGGCTGGGATTGACGTCTCTCCATGTACTTGAATCTATCTCGATTGAATAAAGACTTTCACTTTCACCAGTTTGCCTCTGACTCCGACTTTCTTCTTCTCTTTTTTGTTTTGTCCAATGTGAAGGAGAAAGTGGATGGATCCAATTCATGAACATAAGTAAGTATAGCTAAGAAAGAAGGCATAAAGTGGCAGTATACGTAGTTTAGTTTAGCTGCATATGCCATTGTACTTTGTGCCTTTAGGATTATGTACAATATTCTTGGAAATATTGTTTCCGAGTCCGAATTTAATAATAAACTGACTGAACTCGGAGCAGGCGGGACGGGACTCGCTTATTTTCTTATTTTGCATAATATCTTTTAACAATATGGATGCATCATCTTTGTTATGTTTAAAGCTGGATGGAGGAGAAAGTGCCTGCTCAATTGTGCGTTCAGTGCTTCGTTTCTTGTGGATTTGCAAAATTTTTTGCACTGCAAGGCAAGAAAGGCAAGAAATTCGAGGTGCAAGAAAACAGGAGAAAGTGCAAGAAATGTGCGCCATCTATCCACGCGCAGTATGAAGCACAGGGCGCAGTTTATAGCGCCTTGCATTTCTTGCAGGTCAAAATATTCCCCTACAAAAAACCACTTTCTCCCCCTTATTTCTTGCAAGTGGTTCCTTTCACCCGAAACACTGTCCGTATATTGTAATATTATTACATTTATTACCATATCATCGATGCCATACGTACTACGTACATACTGCTATCACTGACTGACTGTCTGACTGACTGAGTGACTCCTGCGTTACACGATATTCATCCCATCCCGCTATTATATTGACATATTGCTTTCTAGGACAATATAAAGCTATTCTGTTTTCCTTCGTGTCGTTGATAAACAGACATCCGAGAAGATCCAGTCTATTTAACGTCGCCTTACATATTGCGAAAATGGGAGTCGAGATAAAGCCTTGTCCCGTTAGCCCGGCCATTTTCCTCGAAGCACATTCCAGGCCGAAATTCCTTCGCAAAGTGGAATGACATAATCTCAACGATAAATCAATGCTTGCGAAAAGTAGGGAGAGAAAAAATGTGGACGAGCAAGAAGAAGATGGAATCCATAAACATTTGACGGAAGTGCGAGAGCAGAGAAAGTCGAGAGATCGAAGGAATTCTCGAGAAAAAAGAGAAAGTTGATTCCTGGATGGCTAACTCTACTCAATTTTCTCGATTGTAATGCATTGTGTTGTCGGGCCTTTTGTGCAGGTTG